GCAGGGTGTTTGCTCTGCAGTGCTTTCGGAAGCAGCAGGGCAGAGGTCTCTGCAACAATGCCTTGATGGCGTCAGCCACCAGCCCCGCCGGGTCCACATCCAGCCAACCATGTGGCGAAACCAGGCTCTACATCCCCCACAAAAGCAGTCATGGCAGAAGTGGGACTGGAGATAGATTCATTACACAAGCAGTCCTTTTTTTATATATCGGCTACACAGCAGCAGATAGATAGCTGTAAATATATTTTTAAATACGTGGCTATATATGCTTACATAGAATAGATAGTTGACAAATTTAAGAAAATGAACAGATATGTAGATAATCTGGTGAAATCAGAATCCGAAGTGAAAAAGTCCCAAGTTTAACCATGGGAGATGAACCCCTCACAAGGCAGAAAGCCCATGGCTGTTCGGTGGCATTCAGAGCAGCCCATCCATGACATCCAGCTCCACCAACATCCAGAGAGAGGGCTGCACGCGAGCTGCTTTTTGGGGACAACGCTTGGGCTGTGCTAACTCCTGAATTACACTCGGGGATTGACTGGGAATGTGCTAGTTGGCCCCAGTCAAACCATGCCAAGAACAATTTTAATAATTAAACATTTTAGACACTGGGATTATCTGCCAGGGAATGCTCCCTTGTGCTATTTTATTTGCAAATATAGATGTGGTTTGAGATTTCTAGCTCTTGCTTTTTACTGTTGCTGAACACCTGCAGTTCTCTAACTTTGCTAGAAGTTCTGCTTACATAAAACTGCTGAAAAACAGGCTTTTAGATGGTGAGACTTTTTGAACTCAGAGATTTCCCTTTTAAAAAGAAGAGGGTTTTATACATGTGTGTATATATACCCACATATACAGACACATACATAAAACAAAATATATATTCATATACATTTATAGCTGTATTTAGATCACTGCAACATTGAATGTCAGTCGGGCAATATTCTCTAGATGCATCATAGCTGAGGGTTTCCAAGTAGTACAACAAGAGAATTTTGCTAATCAAGGCAGTAAAAAGGAGACCTGTGGGACAAGGCTACAATACAGGTATCTGAAGCACAGATAGCTGGCCAAGGAGTGGGACAATATGCAGTTCTTTGACTTATGTAAACATGCAGAGGCAAGTATCAGCAAATTTGCACTTTAACCACAACATCTTTTTTCACTTGCAGAAATTGATTTCACCATGCAAAACCCTGTTAACACAGCTAGATGCAAATGAGCTCTTCACCAGCATAATTTGCTGCTTTTCCAGTACTTGGTAGTGTCTTCCTTTAACTGTGACAATTTGTGTGCTCAAAAGAACAATGACTATTTGGCAACCTTTATAACTCCTCTTCTCCTGCCTTTGTTTTATTCTGAGACTTCTCTGTCGTTATTCCGGGAAATGCAAGCCAGCCCTAACGCTTTGTGAGAATTAGTACAAATAATGCAATATGAAGCTCTGATATCTCAACATGTCCCTCTTTTGCTGCTGTTGAACCCCTTTTTGTCTACTGTTGCTGTTTCAGGATCAAGCCTGCTGTGTGGCCAAACCTCCCTGATCATAAAAAAACGCTGGAGCAACTTTGCAAGAAGCCAAAAAATGTATGTACTTCCACTGTTGTTTTCACCTGAGTATAGACTATTGGGAACAAAATAACACTCATGAGAGACAGTACATGCATTTGCTGCATGAACTGGGACATCCTTCAGAAATGACTTCTACATTTCACTGAAGAGAGTCCACATTTGCACAGGCAGATGCTAGCCAAGGGTATGGAAATAACAGACGATTCAACTAGTGCCTGAGCTTTGACTTGTGCAAGGTAACTACAGAGGGCTGGAGAACTTGATATATGGAGAAAAGTTGAAGGAATTGAGTTTGTTTACAAAAAAGAGGAAGCTCGGGGTGCGGACTACTAATCACAACCTTCTGATACCTGAAGTGTAGGTAGAGAGATGGTGGAGGTGCTCTTGTCACAAGGCTGCATGGTGACAGGACCAGAGGCAACAGGCATGTGTTGCTTCAGGGCAAACTTCATCTGGATATAAGAAAAAAATCTTTCTCCGTGAGAACAATTAAACATTGTGTAGGTTTCCCAGAGAAAAGGTAGGTTCTCCTTTGCTGGAAGTGTTCAAGACTTGGCTTGATAGGGTTCTGGATAATCCAATCCGACTCCTGCTTCTGGCGGAATGTTGGATCAGGTGGACTCCAGAGGTCCTTTCCAACCGAGACGCTTCGGTGATTCTATGAAACTGTGATCGTGGGGCTGAATGGGGACCCTTTGCAAACATCCCTGGTGATGCCCATGTACCCTTACACAGCCAGCAGAATTGCTCATACACCATGCAGTACGTGAACTGCTCTGCCAAATAAAAGCCGGCTGGATAAACGTTACAAACCGTAAGGTGTGGGATTAACCCGTTGCCTTAAAACTATGTGTCTAGTGCATTTTTTCACTAAGAAACTCATCAGCGCTGTTCTCTCTAGTTGGTACGTTATTAGCATGTTCTTAGTAACACATCTAAGACCACTCTCCCACCCCGCATGCTCCCCGGTGCAGGGATTCCTAATGTGTTTCAGGAAGTTGTGGCAAACTTTTACTTCCCTCACTGCTAAATTAGGAAGGTAAAACTGAAAGGAACTGCCTGGATGGGCACATTCATTCCTGTGAAATGGCAGACGTGCAACAGATGCGTGGCTCAGAAAAGTCTTTGAAAAATCAGTTCCCACCACATTGCGTAGAGCATAAAACACTTTCCAGTGGCACTGCCTGCAAGAGGCCACTGCATAGATTCAGATTAATGTGGAAAAGGATTTTAAGCCATGTGATCGTTTATTCTCTGCTAACCTACTGTTCAGCCTGCTCAGGGTTACTGTCAGAGTTAGAGAAATAATAATCACTCTTCTAAAATCAAATTAATTATCAAAGAACCTTTTCTCTTAACCTAATACCCACTGTTAACTGACCATGCTGTTCCTTTTGCCACGCAGAATTTTGATATAAGCTTTAACCCAGAGAGTTTTGGTTATGTTCATATCCATAAACTGGACGGCATTCGAGCAAAGGCTGAACTGGAAAATGTTCTGCAGCCGTCTACTGCTCCAGAGACAAACCTTCCAGAAAAACTTAGGAGCGGATCAGACCTGAAGATGATGCCTGCGATGACAGACAAAAGCAACCTAAACCTGTCTGTGACTTACGGAGGAAACTGGCCAGCTGAAGCCCTGCACAGGCTCCTGGGCACCAGCCAGTTTGCAGTCACTGAAGGAAACCGCGGCTCCAGCACATACGAGGTGTGCCACAGCAACGGGGTGCTCCTGTGCGATGATGGTTTCAACCTTTCCTCAGCTCCTCCCCCGGATCCCTCTGGCCAGCCTGGACCAGAGCCCCTAAGTTCTGACACCGTACCCCAGATGCTGCTTACCAGTGAAATGAGGTCACCAAACAATGAGGAAGCCTATGTCACAATGTCTAGCTTCTACAGAATTCAGTAAACCTTAGAGGAATGACAGCGTACTGTTTTTTTCTTTAACACAAGCAGGACACTGAAGCTTTCTGTTTTGTTTTCCTGCGTCCTGTGAGTTCCCACCTATGCAACACACCCTGCTCGCAGTGCAACGCTATACCTGCAAGAAAGTGGGTTCTCCCATGTTTCGGGGATAAGTGGCCTAACCTCGGCTCTCAGTATGCCGGTAGAAATCTCCAATGCAGCAGAAATTAAATTTAATTCAACTTGACTTTAATCTTCAGATCTGATTAATCCAGAGCAATGACACTGCAGTCCTAGCTGAGGATCACAGCACGTATCGTAAAAGTAAATGAACTCTTCTGTTAACCTCTTGGTTGTAGAGTTAAGCTCTTACTAATGCCTAAGTAAGAAATACAGCAACAAATTCAAGTTAAATAGAATCCAATCTCTTTTAAACAGCAGTAGGCCAACAATAACTCCTCTGCAGTCAGTGGAAATCCACAAGTTTGCAAAACGCCAGTCAATAAGAATTGCTATCAAGCATTAATTGCCTGGGGATTCAGGAGCTCGGTCACCGCAAAGGGAGTTTGCTGAGCCCCAGGAAAAAGGGCACATGGACTCACTTCAGGAAGATGTTTTTTCAGACTGATTTTTTTTTTTTGGAGAGACAGATTAAAACAAAGAAAACCCTACACAGGGCTACTTTTTGCTGTTGGAAAAGATCTGCCCGGGAGCCAATTTTAGGATCCACAGGTACTTCTGCTAGTGCTATACATTAAAGATCTTTCATGTACTATTTCATGTACTAGCAATGTTTAGCTAAGAAAACAAACAAAAAAAACCCAATGAAAAACAAAGTCTCATTTCTTCCTATAAACTGAACTGGGGCTCTGAAATGGATGATGCTTGCTTGTGAAAGCATTAGTGCAGCATGTGAGCACTTTCCAGGACAGAAAGGCTGAGTAGACCATGTTTGTTTACTAGCATTATTCCAAACGGCTGTGGCTGTGTGAGAATACTTTGAATTTGGCCAGGCAACGTTCTCATGCAACATCTGACCTAGGAAAATGGATGGAGCATCATGGATCCTGCCAGTGATCAGAAGACCTATATTTTTTTAAAAGTACCTTGTAAATTGCCTGGAGATAGCTTTCTTTTTTTTTTTTTAACATTATGACAGAGGAAGGCATCCTTTCCCTTCCCATTCACCCTTCTCTGGACTCTGTGCCCTGCTCTAAGGGGTTCCGCACGTGCTGCCACGCAGAGATGGCTGAGCCACTTCACAGTCCCTCTGGGAAGCTGCACATTGCGGAGCACACACTTGGAGAAAAAGCTGCTACAGCCACATGTTTGCGTGACAGCTGAGCAGTGTGGCCACGGGAAATCCAAGCCACTTTGCTGCACTCTGGGATTGGGGTTCACCTCACCGTGCAGGCTCAGTTCCTCTAGCTGCCTGAAATTCTCCTATACTGAAACGTATTCCCATTTCCAGAGTCTAAGGATAAAGAGAGTCCTCTCTCATCCTCAGAGCTGCTCGGATTTGTTCTGATTGGTAATAATCACTGAGATGTCGCTATATTTGATGTAGCCTGCTGGAGAAAAACAGCAGTCCCAAGACAGCAGTCCTTCACCTGATACCAGGGAAACCTTCAAACAGGAACAACCTTAGGGTCCCTGCATGCAAAGGAGATGAGGATTTGGCTCAAGGCATTGTAGTGACATTTTACAGAATGGTTTTTATTGCTATTTCTCACCGAACGAAACATTGATTAATGCAGCAGAAAAAGACGAAAGCCCTGACATTCATTTGCTTTATAATGCTTGTATTTCTTTTTAAAAAGAGCTGCTGGTAATGCTCATACTGTGCAGACTTGCACAGTGCGATTCTAGATGCAGACAGACTGTGCTGGAAAGAGATCCTCTTCCAGTAACACAGTGACAAACAAAAAGGGGATAGAGGAAGAAGCAAAAGCGCATCAGGTAAGTCCTATACAGTATGTGCTATGCTTGTTTTGAACTTATACAAACATTTTTAAGGATTAAAAGGAACATCACAAATGTCTATTTACACTATTTAAGCAGTACGGTACCCCTGTATAACAGTCTTTCTGTTTGTCCAGAAAGGTATACTGCTCTTTATTAGGGGAAAAGTAGTAGAAGCCTGATGTTTCCTCTTTAGTACAGGAAAAGTAGTAGAAACCTGATGTTTATTTACTTTAATCACTCTGAAATACTTATATTTTTCCTATGTAGTACTCATATTTTTGCATAGCTGCTAATGTTTAAACATTTATTCTATTTTCTATGTCTTATTATCTTATTTAATTAGATAACATGTAACCTTGGTTTTATAATGTTTTTACTGTATTAAAAGAACATGGCTATTTGCATGATCTATTTATGCTGCTTTAATTCAGTCTTCTAATACTATTCTATCAGGATAGGACTTATTCTGCCCTCACTGAGATTTGGATAACTCCATGGGGTCTACCTAACTTCAGGCAGGATATATCCCAGACAGCTCAGAGGCCTGAAAGCACTATAGGATAACAGCAAGCATCACCTTCCTTTCATCGCCACCACCCTGCGAGCCAGGGAAGCCTCTCTGCAACTCTAGTTCCTATGTTTTGCACCATATGCCTTTGTTCATCCTGACTCGACTGCCATCCAGCCCCTGTTATTCAGAAAACAGAGAGGTGACAGCTCTGGGAATCAGGCGGGTGAAGCCGATCTCCTGCCAATGGCTCGTACTTGCTCAAGCGAGCCAGAAGCTTTGCCCAAGCCCCCGTGTGCAGCCATGAGTCCACACCACAAGCACCAGAAAAGAAAAAAATAACCTCAGGCTTGCGATAGCGTAGGTATGTGTGCAGTAAGGCAAAGTCCCATATAGGCTGTGTCCTCAGAGATGGTAGTTTGCTAATACACTGCTGAATGCTGACAAATATGCAACTGATAGAAAACAGAGCAGCTTTTTGTTAATTACGTTCATCCCAATGTAGTTTTCCTTAGTGGAGGACATAGGCTAACTCACGCCAGACATGGGGGTTACTTTATTCCAGGCGTGCACCTGTGCCTGTGATGAAGCCTGTTCAGAAGAGCATCCTTCCAGGAGAGCAGCAGCGAGCACAGACAAATGGAGGGGGGTTAAAGGTTAGCATTAAGGTTTCTAAAGGACCCTGGCTCCCAGAAACGGCCATGAAACTTGTTCATTGAACCACATCCAACTGCTACCAAGCCAATGCCAACAATTGTGTCATTGCAGTGGTGTTCAGTCAAGTCCTGTCAGGCTGAACTTTCACAAGTGCTAAGCTCCTCCGAGAGAACTCTGGGGATTAGGCTGCTCTGAAGCGTGCAGAGGCTAGCAGTCTCCTTCAGCTTTGACAATCTGGCCTGAACTGTGGAAGCTAAATCTTTTGGAAAAATTGTTCCCTGACTATTTTGCAGGTGTTGAGTACCAATATTTGAGCGGTCTTAGTATCAGCATCCCTGAACATCATATGCGATTTTATAGCCATCAACATAAATTTGATTGATAGGTGTATACAGATATAAAAACTTTCAGCTTCTTTTTGGAAAAAAAGTAATCCAAATATGCACCAAAGCAAGAAGCACCACAAATGCTTCTGGTCCATGGCTACCTTTTAGATGCATAGTACACGGATATGAAGATACAGCCACGGCTATGACAACACTTCACTGGGTCACGACCGAGTTCCCCCACAGCTGTTCACAATTCCCATCTGACTCAGGGGTATGGCTCAGCTTTCACATACTCCATGCACCTTCTTCACTTCAGCATAACTTTCCTCCTCCACGCTTTCTACCTCCTGTGCTCATACTCAGCTGCACACACAAAAAGAGCTTGGTGACCCTGGTTTCTATGACACTGTGCCTGGAGCTGCGTGCTCCTCTCCCTGCACGTAACCATCGGGCTCTGCCACTTCTTCAGCGCTCGTGGTACAACACAGCCGCTCTCCCCTCTTCGTTTCTCCCCTCATCTATGCGCAGCTCATTTGCACTATGCAAACATCTCCTAGCAGCACACGAACGCTAATCCATGAAATAAAGTAAGTCTTTTGCCAGTTATAACACTGAGTCACAGTCTAATTTTAATGATGCTGAAAAATGTTAATTACCTCCCAAGGCGATACTTATCCCCTGCTGAATTTATTAGTTTGTTTACCAAACCTCCTCCTCTTGTGCATGTTCATTAGGCAGGCTGGTAAAACACACAAAAATGCTGTGTGTGTCAGTGGGGTGATAGAAGACCAGCTAAGCATGGGGAGGCAGGCGAACTGTTTCTGCCAGGGTGAAGGGATGGTTAAATGCACGTGATGTGCAGTGAAGTCTGGGCCATGAAATAAACGGTGGAGGGGTGGCCCGGCCACCGCTGCCGCAGGGACACATGGCTGCATTCAGGGCAGTTTTCGGCAGGCACAAGCTGACCATGAAGCCATCCCTTCTGGCAGCAAGGGACCTGGCGGTGCTGGCAGGGTATTTCTGCAGGGCAGGAGTTCAGCCCCTTCTCGGCTTCTTAGCAGAACTGTTTATTGACGAGAAGGCCTGTATTTATCAGAAGTACTGCAGTGCTGCAGCCCTGAGGGAAACAGCAGCAGGTTTTTAGTCAATATGCTTTTGGCTCAAGCTAGTTATCTCTTTGGTTGTGAAGCTATCCTTTAAAACCGGCTAAAATGTAACATAAAGGAGACTTACCATCTCTGTGAAGAATTATTTTAGGGTCAAACAGTTCCTTATTACTGCGATCATGAAGCCTCCCAAATTAGCACTCCTGTGTGTAACAGAACATGGGCAAAACAAATCTAATGCACAGACACACAAGAAAACAGCTGACGATGCCAGGAAATGCAATTGCTAATTTATACCGACTACCCCATGCCTTTGCCCGCCCGCCAGCTCCAGGTTTCCGTGAGGCTTGTCCGTTCCTCGGCTTTTAAGCGCCACCTGTTGAAACGTGAAGCCACATGTCAGAGTCCAGCACCGGGACACTCGCAGGTGTCATCAAAT